GAAGCTACATAGAATGTATTTATTTTAGGAGAGGACTGTTGAAGCTACATAGGATGTATGTATTTTAGGAGAGAACTATTGCAGCTACATATGATGTATGTATTTCAGGAGAGGACTATTGAAGCTACATAGGATATATGTATTTTAGGAGAGGACTATTGAAGCTACATAGGATGTATGTATTTTAGGAGAGGACTATTGAAGCTACATAGAATGTATTTATTTTAGGAGAGGACTGTTGAAGCTACATAGGATGTATGTATTTTAGGAGAGGACTATTGAAGCTACATAGAATGTATTTATTTTAGGAGAGGACTATTGAAGCTACATAGAATGTATTTATTTTGTGTAGTTGTTGTTAACAGGAAGATGGTAAAACAGATTTTAAAGCAGAAATAGTTTATCGGATAAAACCATAAATTAAGTATAAGTTGTTTAAAATATTACACACTAGAGAAATAAAATGCCCATCTAGTTTTGAAACACCAAGTATATCATTATGAAGGGCAGCATTAACATAATCACAACCACGCTGGTAACACATTTATACCATAAACCCCATTATGTCATGGGTGTATTACAAAAAAATTATTTCTGTATTGTTTTAAGTTCTACTCCCATTTAATTCTTATAAAACTAGTGCTATTTTTGCTTGCTTATTTTAACTTGTCCAAAGTCAGTTTTATGGTTAGTTTAACAAACATGTGCAGTAGCAGTTGATTTCCCTATTTTTTGATGGACCTTTCTATTCTTTCAATCTTATAACAAGGGACCACTTAGTTTGTTAAACATAAACCACTTTACACAAACATTGAATTGAATAGATAGATATCTATTTGGTCTTTCTGTTTGTTCAGTTTATGTAATTTTTTGTTATTTTTCAAAAATAAACCTGAATTGTTTGAGGTTCATAAAAATATCACGTAACAGAGGAGAGTACCCATGCTAAGTTCTTGATTTTGTTTTATAAACAATCTTCGTTAGGCTTTAAGTAGTCTTTGATAAACTAACTAAAAAAAAGTAACTTCATGCAAACTCAAATTATTGCTGAACCAAAGTTTGATCAATGTAATATGTAATATAACAGAGATATAACGATGTGATATAACAATGTAATATAACAGAGATAAAACAATGTAATATAACAGAGATATAACGATGTAATATAACAGATATAATGATGTAGCATAACAAAGAGATTTTGCTCACATTTCCTTTCAGAATATGCTTTTGATATATATTTACAGCATTTTCTTTTTGAGTCTGTAAAAAAAAAAATCCCCCTTGCATTTTCTATTAAAACTAATAATAAATCTATCTTTTTTTTAACGTGTTCTGCTACTCTTATGACACACTTCAAGCTTCTAATTAAAAATATGATTGAACATTTTAACTTCGAGCCAATGTATTAAAATGAAATAATAAAAACAAACTTTAAACAATCATTAATCAATAAAAATATATTTTTATTCCAACACTGTACAACTCAAGACCAAACCACCACTGTTTAATAGGAATAAAACAAGCTGGGTTTCTTCCAACTTATAAAAAAATTATCAATCAGTCAAAACTAGCATCATTAAGGGGTATTGACACTATTTACATGTTCATCATCTTCTGAAGAACTATCGTTTTGACTCTGTATCTTCAAGTTCTGTAGGTGACAATGTACAAAACAAATATCTTAAATTCCGTGTTTATATTCGAAAAACAAAAAATCTCTAATTCTCATCAACAAAGTGAGATTAAGTTTTCTGTATTACAAAAAAGAATACTTCATTAAGTTGATATTATTTATATTAAAAAATAATGATAAATGAAAATACAAAATTTCTAATCTCTTCACTATTAGAAATGTACTCTAGCAAATCTGGCTTACTATCAGGTTACTCCTATACTACAGGTGTTCAAAGTAGCCTATTCCAATGTTGACCAATTCAGGACAGGCATGTATCATCTACACACCTTACACACTTATATAATAATCATATCAAAACATGTTAGAATCTGTTTCATCCTTCAATGTAAGGAAAATCTCACTTAGAATCTGTTAACATTATATGTAATGTCATGAATATTTTTTTCTGGAAGTTAGTAAAGAAAAAACAATGTAGTTTATTTAATAAAACCATAAATCCAACATACATTGTTAAAATTAAAACACACTAACTAACACAATAACAACCACTGAGATAACATAGTTTATATACTATAAACCTTACTATGGCATAGCGATGTAATATAACAATGTAATATAACAGAGATATAACGATGTAATATTAAAAGATATAATGATGTAGCATAACAAAGAGATATAACTAAAGAACCTTGGGCCATCAGATAACTGTACAATTACAGCAAGTAATTTCAAAATCAACAATAAGATTGTTCGTTAATTCCTTTTTTGTATATATTTTTTTGTGTGTTCTATTGTCACGTAAGTTTTAAACAAAATCCACAATATCTTCAAAAACTACAAGAAATGATGTAATATAACAGAGATATAACGATGTGATATAACAGAGATATAACGATGTAATATAACAAAGAGATATAACGATGTAATATAACAAAGAGATATAACGATGTAATATAACAATGTAATATAACAGAGATATAAATCCATGTCAGAAGTAGAGTAAACAAGTTTAGTATCTGATGGCCCAAGGTTCTGAAACTTGTTTACTCTACTTCTGACATGGATAGTATCTGATGGCCCAAGGTTCTGAAACATGTTTACTCTACTTCTAACATGGATAGTACCTGATGGCTCAAGGTTCTGAAACATGTTTACTCTACTTCTGTCGTGGATAGTATCTGATGGCCCAAGGTTCTGAAACTTGTTTACTCTACTTCTAACATGGATAGTATCTGATGGCCCAAGGTTCTGAAACATGTTTACTCTACTTCTAACATGGATAGTATCTGATGGCCCAAGGTTCTGAAACTTGTTTACTCTACTTCTAACATGGATAGTATCTGATGGCCCAAGGTTCTGAAACATGTTTACTCTACTTCTAACATGGATAGTATCTGATGGCCCAAGGTTATG